CCCCCCCTCACAACTACTAATATAGCTGTTCTTTTCAGCAGCCACACAGCTTTGTCCCCTGGCATCAGAGGACAATTAACAGTGTCATGCACCTTTGGGAGCTTGCTTGGGCACCAGTATGTGAAGTGATTTCCTCTGATCAAAGTCCGTGTGTTTCTATGCTCATCCTCTCCAGCTCTGCGGAGCCGGTCGGGACGGTCCATCATCAATGGAAACTGGGCAATTGATCGACCTGGGAGATACGAAGGTGGTGGGACAATGTTCACTTACAAACGCCCAAATGAAATCTCCAGCACTGCAGGAGAGTCATTTTTAGCTGATGGTCCAACAAATGAAGTCCTTGATGTCTATGTAAGTTTCTTGTATCTAGATTAATCTTTCTGATGGAAAAATAATCTCCATGTATTGATAACATGCAACACTAGAATTGCATTCAGAACAAATACTTTATTACTCGTTTGTTCCTTTTATTTTGAAGTATTATTTTTGATATTTCAGTATTGCTTGCTGTTGCTTCAATCTTGCTCCAGGTCATAGGAAATCTAAATGATTATGAAACCTGTTTCTCTCAGACTTTACTGATCCAGTAAAACCAATTCTACTTATTCAGTAAAATAGAGATAAAGCATACAAAGGTCAGGGGTTTTTTTGTGTGAACTGGAGTTTCTCCAGATGCTGAAGCAAATTTGGCATAGTTTAATTTTACAGTGAACTATAGCAAATACCTAAATCAGACAAGGCCTCTCAGAATGATACCATCTCAGTTTGCTTTAAAAGCAACTTAAGTTAAAAAAGCTATAGGATATGGGATTTGAAGCAGGGCAGTTTTAATATGCTTTGCTAGGAGGCAAGAGCCATTTGAGAAAGGAAGAAAGAAGACAAAATGTGGCTAAGAAGTGGGAATCATATTGAGAAAGTGTTTACTTCAGATGGGACAGGTTTTACTACACCATATTGAAATAAAAAATGCAAGTGGAATTTATTGCAACTTATTAAAAGATAAATGGTGTGTTCTGAGATTACATACACATGGTAAAATCCATTTGTTGAAAAAACTAGATTAACTGGTGGTATGATTGTTTCATCCAGCTATGGCTTTTTTGCCCTTAAATGCAATATGGGGTGGAAAAGTGAGTGTGGTGTGTTGTTTCATAGTAAAACAAATAGTAATTAGCCTGGTTACTCAGCTGGGAAAAGTTAGATGTTGACAATATGGTGTCTTAATAAAGTCCTGTAATAATTATGTAAAAATTACTTCTTTTGGGGTGTTTTATGATTGATTGCAATGTAAGACTGGCAAAAGCCTGGAAGATTAAGTGGTTGGGCTCCAGTATTCTGCAATGTAAGCTCCATGTTTTTAAAATTTCCATGTCATGGTGTAGTTACAGGATGCTGAGCTGAGATTTGGCCCTAAGTTTTTATTGTCATACGTAATGACCTGAAGAAAAAAGGATCAGGAAATGGATTAAGCAGATATTTCCAAAGTAATACCCCCAAAACCCCTTAAACTTAAATTTATCATGTTTTAGTGGTTTAGTTTAGACTTAATTGTTTAGGCTTAATCTCTTCTTTTTTTTTTTTTTTTTTTTTTTGCTTTTGCAATGCATATAAGAAAGCTGGCATGATATGCCGTAGGTTTCTTGTAGTTATGAGGATTACTACAATTCATGATAAGCTGATAGTTTAGTGTCTTTCTCAATATAGCATGGGAGGATAAAAGTGGATGATGCTAGATGAAAGAAAATCATCCATCAGTATGACACAGCCTCTCTTATGGGTTTGAAATTCGCAGCCATGGAGACACAGATGTGTTTTCAGACTTTGTCTTGCAGTTCCTGAATCATGTAATTCTCTTTTCAGCCATGCTCATGATCTTTATGCTCTATGTAGAAAAATGAAGAGATTTGCAGATGGGAACTCCAAATTACTTTCTGTTTCTTTTCCTGACATCATGAAATCTTTCTTCCACCCTAAAAATGTAGAGGAAAATATCTCGTAAGTTACAGCAGGTTATAATTAACAAAAGAAAAAGAGATGCAAGTTTTGTCCAAGTGTGCAGTACACATTGCTACAAAGACTTAGGTCCACTAATTCAAAACAAAACTATTGTATATTTCCAGGTATTTTCTTGCAGGAAAGCTGTATCAATACATGTATAGGGACTTGATCAGTTAGGCTCTTTATAACATGTGCCTATCAGTTGTTTAGAGAAATGTGATGGAAGAATCATGGGAGCCATTAGAAAGGTGCTCCTAGAACCATCTTAAGCCCGGGTCCTGGTTTGGAAAGATGGGGGATACTCTTCCACTGAAGTCAGCTTCACAGTGCTCAGTTCTCTCGGGCCCAAACACACAGGGTGTATTTTTTGGATAACAAAGTGACATGGGAAGGACCAACCCTTACAAAAAATATCACAAGCAGTGCATTATGAGATGGTTCAGAAAAGTGAATGATCTCCGAGGGACAGAGTTGAGAGGAACAGCTGTTAAATTTGGCAAAGAAGAAGTTACTTTGGCACAATCTAAAACAAAGATCTGAATCCTTAGTTGGTGTTAATTGGTGTGATGAATTTAGTGAAACCTTGAAGCACAAGTGTGCTCTGCTGGGTCATAAAGGCATTGGCATAGCATGACTTCTTTCTTTTCAGCCCATTCTTTGTCAGAACCAAATGACTAGTGCAAACTCTGGTGTTTGGTTTGGATTTTTTTCAAAAAGGTACTTTAAGTCAAAGTGTAATCTGAGGTTTGTATCAAACCAATCCCTCCAAGGAGTCCAGGACTTATAAAGCAGCAGTGTCAGTCAAACCAGTACTGAAGTAGTCAAAGCTAAACTAGTCAGAGGAGCAGCTGGTGACATCCCTGTGTCCCTGGTGTGAGTATGCTCAGTCTCTCAGCAGCAGCAACATCCTACAGACTGGTTGGGTAAGGAGTGTGCTGCAGGCAGTTTTAAAAAGCTTTCATGCCACCTCACATGGGCTTGTGCAGCAGCAACATTCAGAAACCACTTGGCTTCAATTTCACATTCAAAGGAGAAAAGTTTCTGATTCCTACCTGTATTTCATAAAGAGCACTCAAGTGAAGCAGTGGGAGTCTGTCTGCACTAATGTTACATCTTCATTCAGTTTAAAATTCATGTGGAAGGATGCAGGAGGGTTGCACAAGCACTCTTCATTTGCTGTAGCAAGTATGTGGGTCTTTGTAATCTGTTGACATGATTTTTATTGAGCAATGCTTATGGTGAAAGTTAGTAAATGTAGCTAGCTGGTTGTTGGATGTCTGTTAAGTGGTGCAGAGCTGGTTGCATGGGGAAGAGAGGAACAGTTGGTTTTGTGAGATGGTTCACACAGAATAACACACGCTGTTTGCATGTGCTCTGTTCAAGTTCAGCTGATAAACCTTCACAAAGGCAGTTGGTTAGATTTGTAGATTGGGGTCTGTGGCATATAGTTTTCTCTGCTTTGTTTCTTCCTTGCTTATGTTTCCTCAGGCATTTGTCAGTCTCCTTATATCTGAGAACATTTTGGTGACCTTAGGACCATCTCTGCTGCTGCTGAGGTGTGGTGTGAGTCTTTGCTGCCCACACTGGGAGGAGGCAAGGCTGTGCCTGGTGTGGCCCACAGCTGCACCTTGGCCCAAAGCATGTCAGTTTTCCATTTTTCAAATAAGATTTTGAGAAACACTTAATCTGCCATCACAAACTAGCCCAGCTTGCAAACAGAGTAGTGTGTATTTTCTTATTTTTTCTGAAACAGTCAGTCAGTAACGATGCTTTCTATCCTAATAATATAAACAATGGTGTGTGGGTGATTAGTTGAGTTGAAGTACATGTTTAAGTATTAGTAATATAACGAGTGGAAGAGCTGAATATATGGCTGTTTTTCTTTTTAGATGATACATCAGCAGCCTAACCCAGGTATACATTATGAGTATATCATTCCAGGAGACAATGTCATTAGTCCTCAGTTGCTTGCTCAAAGAAGGCCAGGTAAACTGCCACTATTTTCTATTATTAAACACATCTTGTTACCCAAAAAGCTAATGAAGAAATTCATACCATTACATTCAGTGTAAATGCTGCAACTGATATGAGAGAGGCCCAGAATTTCAACCTAAATGTTGAAATAGAAGTCTGCATAGATTTGGTAACTTCAGTTAAATAATACTTGCTGGGATTATTTATACTGCAGCAGGGAATCTGGTCACATATTTCTACTTTCAGTAACAATTCTGTGGCTTAAATGTTAACCACGGCTATCCAGTTGGAAAGGATCAAACACAAACCTGCTACCTTCCCAAGCTAGAATCTGTACAGATTATGCTCCTGACTAATCTGTGGATATGTGTTGTGTGTACTGGTATGAAGTTCTGAAGGACAATAGAAAATTACTTTTCATGATCATGACTTGCTTGATAAATTTTCAAGTGTGTTTGCAATATTTTTGATGAGGAGTAGCTGTGCTGTGACAGGGGAAGGCACAGAATATAGAGCATGGTACCAAAAAAAAAAAAAAAAAAAGCTTTGGGAAAGGCTGACACTGGGCCCATTAACTCTGTGCTGGGTTTGGAGATTCTTCAGTTTTTCATGTATTTGCTGGCTGAGAGTTGGTTGTCTTAGTTTAAAATAACACACTCTTTGCAGGACATTGTTAGAAGGTTTCTGCAGAGCAGATTAAAGCTGCTTTCTAGTCTGATGCTCTAGTTGGGGTTATTAGTGGCTGAAAACAGACTGATATTTGCAAGTGAGGCTCATTATTTTACTTTTTTGTTATTGTCTATCATCAGGGGAGCCCTTGAATGGTCAGTTAGGAATTCCGGAAAGTACAAATCATGAGGATGAGGATTTGTATAGGGAGACAGCTACTTTCACTGGACAGTCAGCAGGAGCATTTCCAGTTATTCAGCCAGGAAGATTTCCTTCTCATCAGCCAGAAAACCAGGTGCCTGCTGTGCAACCACCAAGGCAAAACCGAGAACACAACTGGAAACAGATTGGAAAAACTGAGTGCACAACTACATGTGGGAAAGGTAAGTGCTTCATACACTATGCATGGAAATAGATGACACATGGGAGGGTTCCAGCCTGGGAGAGAAGCAGGGAGGGAGGAAGCAGTGTGACTATTCAGCAGCTCAAGACATGGCTGGAGCAGGTCTTTTCTGTTATGATACAAGCAAAAGACACTATTATGTGTGCTTATACTTCAATCAGTACTAAACAACAAAATTCAATATATTAAATACAAAGTATGTAAAGGGACTACATGGCATTTGTCTCTGCACGGAAATATTTCAAGATTTTATGGCAAGTTTCTCTCTCTCACACCCCTGATAACACAGCTGCTTTCCTCAACATTCTTTGGCATCCTTTATCCTTCCATTTGGCCTTGCCAGGTTTCTGAGATACACCCTCAGTGCTTTTTGTGTCTTTATCAACAGTTTTCTGATCTTTACGGGAACGTTTCACAGGGATTCCATTAGCCATATCTTTGCATCATTGGATGTTGTTGGAGCAGCAATAATGTGACTTCAGAAAACCAAGGTTTTCATAGGGCACAAGTGGGAAGGAAGAGCTACAGAAAGGGACTGGTAATTAGTGAGGTTTTGGGATGTGATGGATGCACTACTTTGAGCTTGCCAGATTAATCTTTGCCATAAGACATTCACAGTGACCATAGGTTCAATATTGCATAGAAGAACCAATTATTTGGAAGAATACATTTTTTTGATAGTTTAAATTGAAATCTTTTGTACTATCCATAGCTACCCATCACTATAGCTAAAAAAATCACCTGACTGTCACAATCATATACATTGACAGCATTTGCTTCCTAATTAGTTTGAGAGGACACTTCGTTAGTTTGATTCAAGGCCAGATGAGTGTCTGTGTTATAGCTACAGGTCGAGCTAAAAGAATCCAGCAATATTAATACCAGTCAAAATTGCTTCCCTGAATATTGAGAGAACTTTTTTCCTTGAAAAAATTACTGCAAAAGTAGAATTAAAATATAGCCTATAAAAATCAGAAGACTTTTTGAAGTCAGCTTTTCTGTGGAGAAGAGGAGGAGCTGTAAACCAGAATTATTTTGGCTGGCATTTAAATACACAGTATGTCTCTAATACAAGTCGTATGGGCAGAATCCTTAATTGCACCTGATTATTGTTTAGCAGCAATCTGTGAGTATCAGCTGCTGAGTGTCTGTATTATCATACACGTGGTGAATTTTAATATCCAAATCAGGTAATTTATGATACAGTTGCAGGAACACATCAGGCTAAATATATTCTTACATCATAGAAATCAAGTTCTTCAGAGATCTGGGAGCTATTGGCAGTGGCATTAATGAAATCTGAGTCAAAATTATGATGGCAGAATTGTAGGAAAACAGTATTCAAAGGATTTATTTCAGCCTCCTACGCAGCATAAATTTACTCCATGAAATTTAGGAGTATCTGATGCCTCTGGGGCATTTCCAGTCAAACTAGGTTATATAGGCTGATAAAAAATAGAATAATGAAATCAGAAACAAATCTTGTATTATTTATGGCTTCATTTTAATTTTCTATGATTTAATATAGGACACCTTTTTTCCCCCTTATTCCCTTTTTTGCTACTTTATTTCTTCATGCAGAAGTGTAGATGTTACACAGTCTTTAAATTTTTAAATATTTTTTTTCATTGTGAAAATCTGTCAAAGCTAAATAATATTAGAAAAGTTAGAAGAAGAAAGAAAAATTACTTTTATGCTACCTAAGTAAAAATGGAGGGTAAATTAACAGATTTTATGAAAAGCTGTGAGATTTCAGTAGAAGTTTGGCTTGGAAAAAAGAAGACTATTACAATTTTTTCTAAAAGTTAAAATATTTCCCACGAGAACTGCCACCAACTCGTGTCCCAGATCTCCATGTAAGATGACTGAGCAAACAGATCTGCTAGAATTTGTGCAGAGTGGAAATTGCTGCTGCATTCAGTCAGGGAAGTGAAGTAGCATATCATCCCTCTCTGTTGTCCAGGGTGAAGAGGGCTCATGCACTGCAAATTCCTCCAGTCCTGGAGCCACAGGATCTTGACCCAAATTTTGTCTGAAAAATCTTACAGGAAGGGTATCTCACTTAATCTCTGAGCACAGCCTGTGCCTTAAAACTGTTATCTACAGCTTGGCAATGACCTGGGATGTGCAATTTGTTATCAGTCATAGCAGCATGTTTGTTACTTTTTAAAAGAAGGATTAGGAAGGAGGTTAAAGAGTGCAAACTCTGATTTTTTTCCTTAGATTTCAGAAAATGTAGTAGTAGCTTTTTCTGAAATACTAGTGTAAGTTAGCTGCTGAGGTACAATGCCTTACTTTGGATAGCATTATGTTCTTGAACATATAAAACTTTAGTGGGAATTGTAATTTTAGATTTTCTGTTGTGAAATTGAAGAGTGCCAGCGAACAGGTACCATAAACTACAGCCACCCTTACTTTATTTAAAGTCATAAAGTAATAATTTAGAATTACTACAGATCTCTGGTGCAGTGTGCAGTATTTTTAATACACAGCTGAATGTATTGGTCTCCTGTCTTTCTATTTCTTGATCACAAGTATGAATTACCTTTGACTTTTTCTCCCTTGTTTTTATGTATCTGATCTAGCAGAGAACCTTTCCTGTTGGTCTCTTCATCATCTGTGTCAGGAAACTTATTAATGTACTCCAACTTTCACTTACCAAATACAAGTAGCCATGTTAGCACCTTGCTCTTTGCTACCATTTTGGTCGTCAGTTTGCAATAGTAACAGAAGTAGAGTTCTATCTTCCCACTCATACATGAGAATTTTTAAAGACCAAACATTTAATGTAGAGAGTGGTAATTTTTAATGAGTCTGTAGTTTACAGTAATGTTTAACCTGTCAGCTTTATCTTAACAATCTTTTCAAAAAACAGATAAATTGGATAATATTCTCATGTGTTTACTCACCATGTAACTCTGAAGTAAGGGGGCTCTCCCTTTCCAAGAAGCACAACAGGACTGCTAAACTTTTCCTCCTCTCAAGCCTGTGACTGCATTTAAATTGCCTGAGTACATAAACTTTGTACTCTAAAAAGATCACACACAGACCAAGGAACATGTTTTCTCAGCCTTTCTTGCAATGCCATCCTCTACTTTCTATATACTAAGGACTTTTCTTAATACTGCAGTGTAAACAGTGTATCATTCAGCTCCGACATTTGGAAATTTTACATAAGATATACTAGTCTGTATCTCCTGTGAAGTTACGCTTTTCCTTCTGCAGCAGCGTTGGATACTACTGTTGATGCTTGTACTGCAGAGTCTTTTGCAACACATCACCTGATTTTCTTCTTCATTTCAGGGTCACAGTACCCAATTTTCCACTGTGTCAACAGAATCACTCATGAGGAGGTACCTGAGAGTTACTGTGACAGCAGCACCAAACCCATTCCAGAAGAGGAAGCCTGCAACCTCTTCCCTTGTCCAGCTTTGTAAGACATTATACTTTGAGTCAAGTGAAATAATCTGATTTCATTGAGGTTTTTACATGAAAGAGGCTATACTAAGTAGGAAATTAGTTTGAACTTCAAAGTACTATGCACTTTTGTCAATAAATAAATCTTGGAATGAGAAGAATTCATCTAGGGATTTTTTTCATCTCTAAATGTAGTTTTACTGACAAGTTAGTGCCTGGATGTGTTACGGGATTTTCATGGTATTGTACATTTTTAGGGCCTTTTCTGGAACAAAAAATGATGTGACACATTAAATTTTTGACCGGTGTCATAAAGCAAAAATATATATTATAGATAGATTCTTTAAAAGACCAAACAGCTATTAGTGGCTTAATTTATGTTTGTAATCTGTTCTGAAATAATGAATTGTGCAATCTATATGCATGTTTATTATTACCAACCACAACAGATAGGTTGGTTAAATTATATAATGTTGTCTTCATGAAAGGTTAAATTCTGGTGGCAGAGGCTGAAGTGGTCCAAGTTTCTCTACCAGCATCAGTGTCATATCATTCCAGTTCTGTTAAGATTAGTATTACAGAAGTAGTTACTGAAAAAATGTCATCTTGTTTGTTATTTCCTTTAGCTGGGATATAGGGGAGTGGTCTGAGTGCAGCAAAACCTGTGGCCTTGGCATGCAGCACCGGCAGATCCTGTGCCGGCAGATGTACGCCAATCGGACCCTGACAGTCCAGCAGTACCGCTGCCACCACCTGGAGAAACCAGAGACAACCAGCACTTGCCAGCTGAAGATCTGCAGTGAATGGCAGATTAGGACAGAGTGGACTTCAGTAAGTACAATTGATTAATTTGGGGCATAACACCTTGGAAAATAGGAAGATTTTTCATCCAGGTCTCACTCATCAAACATTTATTTATTTATTTTTTTTGTTTAAAACAAGGAAGTGGAATGTGAAAAGCCTTGGAAATATGTGAATCTTAGTTCAAGAAAACCCTGCTTAATTCTGACCATTATAGATTATTGTAACCAGAAAGAAGCTGAAAAAGAGCAAATGAACAGTACAAAACACGCAGATGTGTGGGTACAGAGAAGTACACAAGCTTTCTAAGCAATGGTGTTTTTTAAATCCTATATTAAACTGGGACAGTTCTGATAGGTTTGCCTGTGGCAGCAAACTTACTGCTCTTTCTCACAGCATGAAGAGTTTAGTTCCAGGAGTTATTTAACCTTGTGTGTGTATTGATAGAGTCAGTAGTTGCTGTTACTGGAGTTGGTTTGAAGCTATGCCAAGACTTTCAGATACATGTGGATGGTACAGTTTTGATCTGCAATTTCTGGGTTCCTTACAGAAGGCTTGGCCAGCATGTCAGCCATCCTAGATATTTTCATGGCCATTGTGTAAAAGAGAAAATATCCTGGTGAATCAGATGTACTGATAAACAAATCTCTTTCACTTAGGCATGAAACAAAGCAAAAACATTATAGAGTTGCTGAATTATGCAGGTGGATAGACTGAAAAATTCCATCTTAAACCTTTAACCCAAACCTTTTTTTCCTTTCTGCTGAAGTGCTTCCTTGCTCCTAATTCCCCCAGCCAGTGCTGGAATTCATGGCACAGCACCAGGGTTCTGTGCACAGGCCAGCTGCACTGGCAGGAGCAGCACAGCTTTCCATCCCCATAGACACAGGCAGCAGACTTTGAGTGGCTTTGTTGTGGGTCTTCCCCCATGGTAAAGCCTCTGTGCATTAACTCCCTCAGTTGCTGTATTTTGGAGGCTGATGGGGCCTTGTTAACTTTCTAGTCTTGAAGTATCCATGACATATTGATACATTTCAGATTAAAAAATCAGAAATACCTAGATGAATTTAAAGATATATTTACTGGTTAATTCATTATTCAAGAGGAAATGAAATCCATCTCTAGTTACAGGACAGTAAAATTTATACTAAAGGTAAAGTTTTGTATTGATGATGGGAAAGCAGACCTGGTTTTGTGTGTTGTTGCATTTTTAGAAGTATTTCAGTGTACAGATCCTTTAAAGGTTTACTGCATATGATGAATGAAGCTAAAGAAATGCTTTAGAAATTGTAGCTGGTTGAATATAAGTGTAATTCCAGTAAAATCCTGTGATTAATTTCCTCTTGGAAGCAAAATTAAAGTTCTTGTCATGGGTAAGACCCATAATAAAGACTGGAGTAATTAAGTTTGCAAACTACATTCAGTAGAACATTTATTTGTGTTTGTGCTTATTGAAGTTCAGTTAGGTTTTCACTTTGTAGACAGGTCTGTGATCTTAAAAGTAATCCCATTTTAAGATTTTTACATGCTTAGCATTTTTTGTGACATATGAATGCCAAAAACTTTCATCTAAATCTGATCAGAAAAAATGACATTGTGGTAATTTTAAGTTTGGAGTCAGCAGACTAGACTTCGAGGGGAACTGTGGACAAATCACCCCCTTTGTGGCACAAGGAATGGGGTATTTGGTTTTATTAGTACTTTGCTATTTAATTACTTAACACATCTAGTCTGGCTTTTGGCCAGTGTTCTAGAGTGAACAGTTGACTAAGTAGATGCAGTCTGAGTTATCATGCTGTAGGGAATATATTTTGCATGATGAATAACTTCGACACATAAGTAAAGCAGACCTGATTAAGCATTTGAAAGCAAGCAAAAAACAATGAGGATGCCTTTGGAAGCTCTGCTAGGGAGATACCAATAGCTGTCAGTGTTCTCTGAGGTTGAAGAAAAGAGCAGGAAAAGGCCTTTTACTTGTAAGAGGGATTCAGAAGTCCTGTTTCTTTGCATTTCTTTTGGTTGGTATCTGCTAATAGGTTATGATCAAAATTATGCAGAACATGCTGTGCTGCTATTCAAATACCAGCAATTGATTTTGATAAAGTGCAGCACAGCCTATTGAAAGTAGGAATTAATTTTATGTTTTCTGAATGTATCTGCGTAGTATATTGTAGAATACTATGGAATGAGAATATTATTTAAAACTACCAATGCATTTTCATTCCCTATTGCTGGAAATCTAGAATGGTTCTGTAGATGTCTTAGCGGGAAGGAATGAGCTCTATGTTCCCAGCTCCTTAATAAAGCACTGCAGTTCTTCCGTAGTGTCCTGATGCAACCTCCCTTTTTTTACAGTGTTCAGTGCCTTGTGGAGTGGGGCAGAGGACCCGAGATGTGAAATGTGTCAGCAACCTTGGAGACATTGTTGATGATGAGGAATGTAACATGAAGCTGCGGCCAAACGATATTGAGAACTGCGACATGGGGCCCTGTGCTAAGAGCTGGTTCCTTACAGAGTGGAGTGACAGGGTAAGGCTTCTCCTTATCTTTGTGCTGCCAAACCTTCTCTTAACAACTTAGGTGTGTCAGAATTAAAAATATACATCTGTACAACCATAAAAGGAATGATTTTTTTTCCATGTTTATCCTTGCTAAAGAGGCAAGAGCAAACAAAAAATAATGATCCCAAGGGCATCTTGAGTTTGTGTTAGATACAAGAATGCATAGAAGGGGCAGGAGTGTGGGTACATGGCCAAACATCTGGATTTAGAATTGGCTCTGTGTATGAACTTCCCAAAATACTGAGTGTGCTGAGATTTATTGTTCTGCCTTGCTTAGCTCTGAGTCTCAAGATTCAAACTCAAAAAAATTTCCTACATTTTTTTTTAGGGATGGAGGTTTGAGGCCTGATGTCTGGGTTTAAGTTCAAGCCATAAAACAATTACGCTATAGCTGTGAAAAAAGGGGAACAACTTCATCACCTTAGGCAAGCTTAATTCAGGCTTTTGTTCTTTATGAACCCTCATGTATATTTTTTTATTCCAATGAGTCAGATTCTCTGCATGAACGCATCAGAAACAGTGGTTTACCTTGTCTTGAGATTGGACTCAGAGTTGTTGTTCAGTGGAGGTATTTATATGCTTTCATTAAAAGCCTTGCAAACATAGGCCAAGAGAAGCCTGTTGTTTTGGTTCCTCTTCTGGATGCTTGCATATCAATTTCATCTGTAAGTAGTGCCTATAAAATCCTGATGGCATCTCCATTTTCTTCAACTGGTTGTTTTTGCAGGCCAGTTATCTAATTTATCATTGAAGCTGCAACTTCATGGATTCACTTCCATAACTTCATGGATTCATAACTTAGATAATTTTGTGGTAGTACCTCTGAAAGCTAGGAATGCCTGGCTCAAAGGTCATGCATTAGTTTGGACACTACTTCACAAGTATGACAGATACCTGGTATGTCACACAATTTTTAAAAGGCTGATCAGACTCTTGCTACAATTGCCTGCAAAATTTTCAGTCTCCAGACAACTCAAATAAATTTTATAAAAAAACCCCAAAACACATTAATAAATCCTTGTTGTCATTTGAAATTTTTTTTCCAGTTGTTATTTACTCAGTGTGTGTGCTCTTGCATAGGGTGGACAGAAAGTTACCAGGTGAAGTTTAGGTATTAGTACAAATGGCAAAGTAGTTGCTGTAGGGGAAATGGCAGTGCTTTTGATTTTTTTTTAGCTTGTAGAGCTGTTTTTTGTACAGTATTATTAGAGTGGTATTTTACAAGTAAGAGAGAAATATGCATTCTACCCTCAAAGACATCTTTCTTGCAAAAGCTGACCCAGCTACTACTGACCAGTGCAGCTCCACCACAGAAAGCTCATACATTCCTGTAAAGAGTCTAGCACCAATGTTTTCTCCATTTTTCTACACTGGTATTTGGTTCTCTGCAAAATTAAAAGTAGTTTTTTGTAGCTGAAGGTTATGACTGTATGTTTTCATTGTGCTTATTTGTATGTATTAAATGAGACATAAAAGTGAAGAAGGTAATGTGGAAAATGTTGGAGGTTTTTTTTACCACAAACATTGTAGGATCAGAGAGTAAAGAATAGATTTTGTTACCTCTTCAGTTTATGTAAGTGTACAAATTAATTTCTTCCAAATGCTTGCTACTGTAGTTGGCATTATTCATCATCACTTCTGCCAACAGTGGGTTTGAAGTTTGAATCACAAAGAGAAAGGAAGGAACAGCTTATTTCAGGAAGAGAAAGTAGGTTTGGCCTAGAATGTGCAGAAACTTCTAAGGTTCACACATACCTTGTTAAGTTGGTGTCCAGAGTTTAGTGGCACTGCTTCCAGTGGGAATTGGAGTAGTCAGTGGCTTTGCAGAGTCCAGCCTTTGGCTATTCACCTTCTTATTGTGCCTTTCCAGGGCTGTTTATTAGGACAAGAAGTCTCTCTTTCTTTGTAGAGGAGTGTGTTTTTCTTGAAAGACAGGAGAAGAATTCTGTCATGCAATGGAAATGGGTGTTCCCAGGTGTATGAACTCAGTGTGTGTAATTCCCCAAACAATTCTAAAATATTCTAAGCCAAACCACACTTGAGTAATAAGCATAGATCAGCGATGGGCAGCCGCAAGTGGTTCAGATAAGCAGCCAAAAGTTCAAATGCTTAAAGAAAGCTTGTTCAAGCCTCTTGAGTCCACAAAACTGTGGTGGAAATCTCACAAGAACAGACCTTCTTTGTGAGATTTATTACATGCCTACTTTGGCTCTCAGCTGGAAAAACCACAGAACACTCTTTCCCATTGTATTTTGACATTTCAGCTGTGGCTAGAAATAAGAGGTAAAAGAACTTATCATAACTTTTGAGAACTTTGGAACTTAGAAATGGTTTGAGTTCAAACTTGATTACAGCCATAAGAGAAGGCCTGGCCTGTACCTTTCTGAACCCATTTTGCAAACAGTTCATGTGACTGGCACACATGCAGCAAACAGAGATTTCCAGAGGCCTGTCAGAGATTGGTTAGGCACATACGTTCTCTTTTAGCAAGGGATATATCAAACTTCCTTGTCTGTATTTATGTGATGCATGGGGACATTACAGTATAGTCTTGGTTAATTAGCAAAACATCAAGGAAAATCACAGTAACGTAAAAATTTCAATTGTCTGCTGCCAACAGATGTTAAATTTCAGGATTTGATAACTATGACATATATTTGTGCAGAAATTGACAAGGATATTCTTTAACACAGGGATAGAAAGACATGAATAGTCACACCTGAGTTGTAAGAAAAGGACAAGATCTAGTTTAGGATTGGTAGAAAGATGTTGGGTTTTCTTATTTTGCTTAAACTTTGCAAAGCTTTAATTTATGCAAAATCATGCTAGTTGCTCTCATTTTTGTTAGCACTTTCTGAATTGGAAGATCATGTCATTAAATTTCCCTAAATGTAACTTCTACAGTGCAGCATATGTGTGCTTGAAAACTTGCAGAGCACATACAGCGTTGTGGGCAGGAGCTGTGCCTCCTTCCCAGCATGGGCTGTATGTGGCTTTACTCTGTAAACAATACCTGCCTTCTTGCCATGTTCTCTCATCTTGTTTTCCCACAACATATATATGTGTGGTTTATGGTCCACCTGTTTACCTCCCGTGCCACTGACCTTCTTGGAGTCAGTGTCTGCACAGACCGATTACTTATATATATAATTAATCCTAAGTAATTAAAAAACCCTCTGTGTTCCTAAAACAGTACAGTTCTTGAGTTGTTGTGATACACAGGTGTCAGAGTCCATTGTATATATGTAGGCACACACACACTTCTACACGCAAAGCTTATGAGTTGTGTTGTGACCATGTGCACACTGGTAGAACATAGAGAGGAAGGAAGGAAAGCAATTTATGCTTAAGATCAAACACTTATATTTTAAAAGGTATATGCTTTGGTATTTGTCTTTGAAGTAGATCTGAACACCGTGTTCTGAGAGGAACAGAAATTTTTACTCATTTCAGTGGGAAAGATTACAGGTTAAAAGTTTCTAGCTACAAAGTGAGACTCACCTCACAGTGAGACTGTGCCTGTCTTTACATTTGTTGCTCTGCATTGAGTGTAAGTAAGAGTAGTAATTTAAGTTTCATGGCTTTGTCTTCAACATGATCTTTAACCTCTTTTGAATATATAGAGTCTGGACAAATGTTTGTGATATTTTTACATGAGTCAGTGGAAAGATGGCTTCCTGTCTCATAATTCTCTTAGGATGTCATACTGCGTTAAAACGGCAGAGTTCCACCAAACTGCATCCATTAATCAGTAGGGTAAAGCTGGTGAACCTTACTGAACTTAGCAACAAAATTGGATTGATGGGAGCAGATGAGATTCTTGCAGACATTTCACATGACTGATTATTTGACAGCTCAAATAGCTGGAAAGTTTACTTCTCCTGTGGGTCAGAAGCAGGAGACTTCATTTTCCTGATTTACAACAACGGGAGACTCACCAGTGTTTCCTTCCAGCTAACTGGAGCATTCCCCTCTTGCATTTTTTTTTATTCCTCATTGCCATCTCCAGTGTTCATTTGTTTCTCATTTTATGTTTAGAGCACACAGAAAAGAAGCCAAAATACAAACAATTCTGGGATGTTAATGAGATTCTGAGGCCAAAGTAAAATCTTAGGAAGAAGAAAAAATGCTGCACATCAGGGAACAAAATCAAAAAGATCAAACACATGCTCTGGATTTTGCTCTTTATTAAAAAGAGTAACAGCAATGCTTCTGTTGTATCTTCCATTAGAGAACTGTAGTATGCTTCGTAAAAATCCTTGTTTTATTCCTCACAATCCTGAAGTATTGCCTAACAGGTACAAGTGGGGTTGTTGACCAGTTAAATGTGGAACCAGCAATTCATATTGTTGCTCATGTTCTTCTTTCACTGTTGTTATATTTAAATCTGGATGGCTCACCTAAAATCTCCTGGATCCTGAAAAAAAAATTAAAAATACCACCATGGAGCTTGTGTAAGCATTATTATTTTTTATTATCACTGTTTGTTTTCAGTATGAAATGAAAACATGATAAGATACCCCTTTCCATTGATTTCATTTGGGAATTGTATGGAAGTAGAAGTTTTGGATTCTTTCTATGTAAATACGTAACCCACTTCACTATTTGCAATTAAACATAAAGCCAGCAGGGTTTTGAAGGAAACATTGATAGAAGGGTGGCCAAGACCTACAGAGATTTCTATTTGCTTCTTTAGAGCTGATCTCTCTATAGCACAATTCAGCTGCTTTAGATGCAAATCAGCATATAAAATGCACGTGGCAGGGGGGAGCCTTGCTAGCTGGAGCCCATGGATCCCAGTTGGGTCAGCAGGGCAGGCTCATAGGTGGCAGGCAGGGGAAACGGGAGTCCGGATTATCAGACAAGATCACATTGATGAGGCAGGTCCAAGGTCAAGCTGGTAAATCAATCTACAGCTCAGGTCCAGTGACAATAACCAGGGTTAGGCACAGCCCAGTGATCCTGGCAGGTCAAGGCTAAGCTGGGAAGTGAGTCTGAGGGTGAGGGATCACTGAGGCCCATGGCCAGGCTGTGTCTGGGGACAGATGCAGCTCTGATAAAGCTCAGGCAGGGACTGAGGTTAAATGGAGCCCCTGAGCCCACGGGCAGGTAAAAGCACCCAGTGAGGCCTGTTGGGGCCAGTAAGGCCCTGAGATGTCCTTACAGCTCTCAAAGTAAGTGATACTCTGTGAGCCAGAGTAGTGAGGAATGCTGTTCCCTGATGTTACTTCAGAGAGCATTTGTAATATGCAAGTACAGTGTTACCTACTGCATATAAAGAAACACTGCACATGTAGAATCAGTCATGATCCAGCTGAAGTGTCCAAAAATTCTAAGACCATATTTCAAAACTTCTATTACCTCAGAAGGATGCCATAGATCTGCCAGACTAAACAGAGGGACAGCTTGACTTCTGATCCAGCACCTGCTGTATGCATAGCTGCATTCTAAAGGGAAATAATTTAAACCCAGATATTAGGAAGTGTTTTGACAATACATAAAGATGTTTCTGACTACCCACCCACATCCTTTTTGGAACTGCAGCAGCAGTGAGCTTCTGAAATACAATTTTTAGTTTATTATTGGGAAAACAAAGGTTACATAACCCTTCTAAAATCTATTCTGAAAGGGATTTTCTCAGAGTAGGTCAAATAACACTAAGGAGTTTCATACCATAGATCTTAGTTTTATTTTTTGCACTAATGTGACATCAGAAGAATGATTCATGAAAAACTTTACTATTTTGGGGGAGTCATTAAGATGATGGAGGTTAAAGTGTGGTAGACAGAAATCCTGCACAAATGGGGACATTTTATGGGAACTCAATTGGTTGCTATTTTAAAATGTAATGAGGGCTAGCAATGGTGCTGAGACCTGGATGAAGGACTCTTGAGTTCTGGTAGATTTCTTGCTGCCTGTTTCTTCACAGCTGCTGCCCCAGCTGTGGGTAGTGACTAGGGCTGGCACATTAGTGACAGGGAGCTGGCACTGCTAAACGGTTTTTTTTTTGCCCTGCTATGCCCTGTGGCTGTGACAAAAAATCTGGCTTCCACTTGCAGGTTTCCAGGTTTGCAGGAACTAGCCTTGTTTTTCTGGACTGCTGTTATGGTTGTTTTCTGACAACTACTGGAGCCTTGGATTAGGGTTTTTTCCCCTCATTTTTAGTTTTTAATGGTAATTGAAAGCCTCTGAAACTGAATTCATGAGGAAAGGCCCTCAGGAAGAGGAGAAATGGCAGACTCCTTAGAAGTAGGGAGGGTGTTCCACAGACTAAGGTTTCTGAGGTATTTCTGCCAATTAAAACAAGACAATGAAACAAAATATCTTTAATAATAGGACCAGAACAGAAAAGTTTCAGCTTATGAACGTTCCTCATGTCATAGAATGTGAGGTTGTGGCAGTTACTGTGTACTAAAGCAACAAATCAATGGCACAGAACTGAAAGTAGTGGGTGTGTCAGTTGTGAAAACCAAAGAGAGGATTCATTATCTAAACACTCCCTACTCTCTGCCTTGGACTTTGGAAATCATGGCTTTCACATGGAAGATTTTTACTGAAAGGAAGAAAAAAACCCATGAAAATCCAAATACTTAACATAGAAACATTCAGGTTTAGGTTTGCTTTTTAAATCCTTTGAGGGTAGTTAATCTGTAGGTAAATCTTGCAGCAGAGGGTGGGACAACCCTATAACTTTCCATTTGGTATTTCCTTTGTTATTTGATATGTAAGCCTAGTTCATGCATAATCATTTAAAACATAACAGTATGGAGATTTTCTGGATGACTTTATAGACTAAACTTGTTTCCAGCTCTGGTTTACAAAGCAGAAAAGCAAATTAGATTGTCAAATGAAGATTACTTAGAAATAAGAAAAGTATTTGCAGAATACATGCATAGTTCTTAATGTATAATGCAATTGAACATACTTGCTGAGGATAAAATATGAACAGTCACAAAATTTCTGTCAGTGGGTTTGAAAGGTGGCAGTTTTATGGAGCTCAGTTAAACAGTCAGTTTATCTAGGAGTGGACTGTTTGAAATGGGTTCAATTTAGTTTAGTTTTAGTTTACATGATCAGGAAGATGTTCACTACTAGCACAATTTACATAATTGTTGTATTTTCAAGATTTTGCCAGTTTACGTTGAAAAGACTTCCTTAGCCATCAAATCTAGTTTGCTGAGGAGGTAAGTCTTATTTTACACTATGTGTAAAAGTGTAAAATTGTGTTGTGCACCACCAAAAATAAAAGTTCATTGTTACCTATAGATGATTTAAGAGAAACTAAATTATTCGATCTTGCAGCTGGAGGAAGGAACCATTCCAGACTATGAGCAATTCTTTCCAATGACTGTGGAGCATTTATTTAAATTCTGAATATCTAGTTATTGCAAAATTGTTGGGTTCTTAAAAAGCTGACTTGTAAAAAGTTGATTCACTTTTTTAGTTTTCTAGGGATTCCATTTCAGTCAAGCTTTGCCCTTCTGTTTTTACATCTTGTGAAAGAATCCAACCTGCTGATAGGAAAAATGCTTTTCTGTACTTTGTGAAATAAGTGTAACATGACTACATCTTTTCACACAAACAGCCAATATTCTTCAGTGTGATGGAGAAGAGAATAGTTTGCAAACAATTGTATCTACAGTCACTGGTCTCTCTCTTGAAAAGATGAATGACTGTATTGTTTAATCCCATTCTTAATAGTGCTATCATGGCATCTGCTGCTCTGTAGTTCAACTATTGGATCTGAACTCTCACATTATTACCAATGAGATCTAAATCAAACTAGTGGGAAACTGTCTCTCATTACCAGGTCTTTGAATCATTCTTACTTTTATTCAATAGAATTTTAAAAAATTGTTCCAGTACAGAATTACATTCACTCACAAGGAATGTACAGTTCATTGTAGAAGTAATACACAGTTTCTCCTGACTAATAACATTGTATGATAAAAATACAATCCAAAATGTGAGTCAAATGCATCTTTTTCTCCCACGTACTACATACTTACGGTTTTTCTTTGCATGTTGAATGTGGCTGCAATCTGAAAAGCTGCCTATTGACTTGGTCCCTTCTCAAATCTATTAACGGGTATGCAAGAAAAAGAATAAAATTAAAACTGAACGAATTTACAGACCAGAAGAAGGAAAGAAAAATAAGAAAGCTAATCAAAAGCTATAAAAAAGGTTTCTTTCTTCCCTAATGCTTCTATTCCTTTCCCCGGTGACTGTAAAGGACAGGTACTTCTTGTAATGTATTCAGAAGTATGAAACTGTGAGATTATTTGCTACAGCTGAATTACAACTAAAAATAATTGACTTTGCATAAAGTCATTTACTTTTTCATGCTTGTTGCTGCTACTCATTGCATTGTGCAGTCTGAAGGATGGGCTAGTACTTATGTTCTGTCTTCTGCTCTCCAGTGTTCTGCAGAGTGTGGGGACGGGGTCCGCACACGCTCGGTGGTTTGTATGACCAACCACATCAGCAGTTTGCCCCTGGAAGGCTGTGGCAACAACAGACCCTCTGAGACAAGTCCCTGCAATAACGGACCCTGTGCTGGTAAAGAGGAGTGGTTTGCTGGGGGCTGGACACAGGTAAGCTCTGTATCTGCCATACAGGTGGTGTTTTAATGTAAAAAATGTACTTTTGCGCAATGGTGATGTGTGCCATAAAGTATTGCTACGTCTCTGCTCAAAATTTGAGGTTTTTTTCTGCATTTTGCTGAGTTGACATACAATTCCTTTCAGAACCTGCTGGGTTTTTTACTTTGATGAATATAAGATTTTGTTCTTCTCTTCCTCTGAACCTTCATTTTTATTTCTCACCTACTGACCCAGTGTATTTGTAAAATGAAAGAGCACATAAAGCTGCTTACCATATTTAGGTGAATGATAAAGCAATAGATTTGTACCTTTTAAAGTACAGCCTTCATGATCATGCATACCTGCAGGGATGTTTTTACACATACATAAAGAGAGAGAGAGAGAGAGATAAATAGTACAAAAAACAATGGCTAAACCCAAAATTTAGCATCAGTATTGTTATCCTGGAACTCGTGATAATGGGTGAAAAGAACTAAATTTGCTTAGTGGCCTATATCCTGATGCTCTTTCCTCAAGCATAAATTCTTCCTTTGATCTCCATCTCAATAGTTCTTCTTGTTCTAAATAAGCATTTCTGCTGTCAGGAAGGAAGGCATTTCAGCAGCTGTCAGCTGGTGCTCAGACATTTCTGTCCCTCTCTCCTGTCACCCAGAGGGCCTTTTGGACTGCTGGTACCAGCACTGCATCAAGTTGTTAGGGAAAAGTCTCTTGGCTGTGCTGTTAACTCACTGCATTTCAGATTCCAAGATCCTTCCAAGAGATAAGGAGTTGGAAATTATGCTAGTACAGCTGAGATGGAGATTACAGGGCTACTCCTATGCTAATGCTTTCAAGTGTAAGTGTTAATTATTTGTATTGAAGAAGAGTAATAACAAATTCAGATTTAAAACATACTTAGCTGCAGTTCTAATAGTGGATAAAATCTGGGCCGTGTTAATTGCACTGCTCAGTGCAAGTCAGTAGAAACTTTGTGTTTGCTACCACAGAGAGAAGCCTTCAGTAAGGTCAGTCTAACTCTCCCCATTCTGATCTGAGTAAGAAAGTTTCTCTGCTTTACAATTTACTGTTCTTTTAAGCTAATTCACCTTCTTTCTTGTAATGAGATTTAATAGCTTGATGCATACCAGGGATACAAAGTCTTTGCTGTATGTTATCTGAATGAAGTATCTGACATCATCTGTTCCACCATCCAAATCCTGACTTCTAAATACTAACATGAAAGCAGGCAGACCAGAGCAGGAGGGAGCATTGGTGGAGCTAGAGCTAAGGCTGGATGTTAAGATAGTGTCTTTTGGAGGAACCATTAGAATAGAGCAGTGACAGAGATTGTTCAGTGTTAAAGAAAGTGCAGTGGGGTTATTTCCTGCTCAGTTTATTTGGATGCATTCATCTCAAGGTTCTTCACTCAGCTTAAGGTTTTTGTGGGTATCTGGTAATGGGATCATAAATTCCACCCAAAATATAAACAAAGCCTCCACTTTTAATAACATTTGATTGGTTTAGGCTAGAAAAAGCCTTTGAAAAGCATAGTCCTTTATGCAACATAGAAACCAATATGTTGCTGGAATCAACTTCTAGAAACCTTTTTACAAGTGCCAGGAACAGCATTATGTGTGTGTTTAACCTTTAAATGGGCAGGAAGAGTCCATGTGAGTCACATTTTCAGAGTTGGAACCAACACTGCAACACACAGATACTTGCAAACATGAAAAGAACGCCCTGGCAGATCAAGGCATTTTCTAAAAACCATACAGAATGTGGGGATTTGTAAAGCTGCAAAACTGTGCTCTAACCTTGTAACCCTCAAAGGTTCAGTACAGGGCATACAATCCTGCTTCAGCAAGAAGCAGTAATGCTGTTTATGAAGAAAGTGAGCTATGCTTCTCTTTTTATTAGAAAAATAAACAGATGCTTCTTTTTGTAGCTACAATAAAACTGTATTTTGAGATTTCTCCAAAAGCACTCTTACAGCCATGTTTCTTCTTTATAAAAATTGCTAGAAATATGTTTTGAGTCTGGGGTACCATGTGCAAGAAAAATTTACAGAAGTACAGGTTTAACTGCTGTGACCGTGTTTAAGATAAAAAATTAAAGGTGTAACACCTGACACAGTCACTTGATGAACTAAGTCACTTATATCCTTAAGCATTTTCTTGTCCTGTTTCCTAGCTGAGACTGCTATAATAATAACAAGCCAAATTTTATCTAAGCTACTCTTCTGATTCAGAGAGATAAAAACTCTGCTGCAGGAATTTCAGCAATATTTTACCCTTTTCCTTTTCTCTTCCAATTCATGTATATGCCAGTGATAGGAGAAAAGATACAATTAAGTTCATTTTGCTGAGGAAAGAGTATAGAAGAGTATTGGAGTAATGGAGTTTGGGTGTTAGTGTCTAGGTGTATATAAAAAATAGGGAATAAGCAAAACTTTACACAATTTCCCATTCAAATATTAATTTTAAATGCAAGTATGTGCGTGTGTTGTTTTATTTCAGAAAGAAACAGCATGGAGAAACATCACTTTGTAAACAAGTTGAAGGACATAAGTAGAATAACAAATTCTACCACTTTTTTTGTTCTCTGATACAGTGCTCTACTGAATGTGGCAGTGGAACTCAACAGAGAGAAGTAATTTGTGTTAGGAAAACTGAAGGTAATTTTGATGTTTTGAACCCGTATGAATGTTCGTATTTGGAAAAACCTCCGAGCCAGCAATCCTGCTACCTCAAACCCTGTGGGTCCAAGTGGTTTCATACAGAATGGAGCACAGTAAGTTTGTCATGCTTTTCTACACCTAGTTTTGATTGATATAACTTTTTCTGCGTATGTTGAAAGTGAACACCATTTGGTTAAAACCATTGACCATGAAGTTGACTTAATCTTGCACAGAAATTACACTTATAAGAGAACATACTCTGTAGTACCCAATGGAGCTTAGAAAAGTTAGGAAGTATCTTGACTGTTAGGAGAAACTGCATGGTCCTCTTTTGATCACTGATCTCTTCTTAGAGGAAACTTCCTGTTTTATAAAGTTGGTTTGCTCCTTAATGAGACTATGTAGTACACTTAAGTTCTTTTCAGACCTCTAATTTCATTAAAATTAAGAAATATTTAATAAAGAATGAGGAATGTATTAAATTTTTTAAGTCAGCTCTACAGTAAGTTTTATCTCATTAAAGTATGTTACTATTATCTAGAGAGTATGTGGAATGTCTTGCTATTAGACCTAAAGAGAAAGGATTATGGGGTTAGCAGTGAGCAGAATACCTGGTTCAAACCCCCTTACTGGATTTTTAAACTGTCCAGTTCCTGTCTTCAGCAGATATTTTGTATGACCCAGGATAAATGGCATGGCCTCTCAGTCATGGAAATTAAGTGCCTGGCTAACATGGAATGCTGGGTTTTGTGTATAGGATGTTGAGTGTAACATCTACATTCTGTCTTGGTTCCATCCTAAGTGCTTAATATCTCTACAAACCTGAACTGAAATTCATACTGTTGGATGTGTAATTACAGTATTCTGTACAGGCATGTAAGAAGAGTAATTGTATGAAAAATCACAAGTGTTCTATTACTGTTGCCACAGGGCAGTGTCTTTTTTAAAGTGTGGAAAGGTTGTACTTAAAGATGAAAGAGTAGTTCAAGAATACATTATTGAGAATATTTTAGTTAGTTTGCTACAATATCTGATTTTATTATAATGATAAGTTGTTTTTGCAATGTTATGAAAAGACATAATTATGCCAAAAAAGGTCAGAAAGAAAGCATTCTTACAAGTTTGGGGCTATTAAGGTTTTAATCATTATAAATGACCCAGGTTTAATTAAGTTTGTGAGGATTTAGGTCAAAGTGGACAGTGAGCCAAATCTCAAAGACCTCACTCAGTCAACAGGGGATTTGCTTCAGTATGGGCAGAAATGTGTAATAATTGGCTTTAAAAATACCATGACAAGCAAGTACAAAAGTCTCTGGCTTCATAACAGACTTTGAAGGAGTGCAGAAATATTATCTTTAGAAATTATATGCTGAGTACTGTAATGCTGAGTAAAATTGTTGTGCTGTAAGAAGTGAAAAATAATTCAGTGCTAGAAAAAATGCTATTAAAATTATTCCCAATTGTATAAAAATGAAGGCAAAAGGACAGTGGAGGGCAGTGCACTCAAGTTATGAAGTTCAGTGCAGGAAGTTCTTAGAGAAAGAAATGTGAATATTGAGGAAAGAAGATTTGAGATCATAGAATCATAGAATCATAGAATCTTAGGGGCTGGAAGGGACCTCGAGAGATCATCTAGTCCAACCCCCCTGCCAGAGCAGGGTCACCTAGAGTACATCACACAGGAACGCATCCAGGTGGGTTTTGAATGTCTCCAGTGAGGGAGACTCCACAACCTCCCTGGGCAGTCTGTTCCAGTGCTCTGTCACTCTCACAGTAAAAAAATTTTTTCGGATATTCACCTTGAATCTCCTATGCTCCAATTTACACCCATTACCCCTTGTCCTATCACTGGTAATCACTGAGAAAAGCCTAACTCCGTCCCCCTGACACTCAATATATATACAGAGAAGCAGAGAATAAGACAAGTAATTAGAGAAGCAAGAAGCTAACTAATAAATTCAGAAAGGGAAATATTCTAGCATACTTTCATTTTGACAGTGTCAACCGTGTTTCCTTGTCCAGTTCTTGTCCCTGTGGTCAAAAGTGGTTTTGAACCTTTAAAAAAAAATAAAAATAAAAATTGCACCAGTATGTTAAGGCCTTCACAGAATGCAAAAAATATCAGAAGTGGTAGAGTTGATAAAAGGCTACAGTGGTACCTGGGTCTGGCTTCAAGGTTCCCATGTTTTTCTCTCTGTGTTTGCACATCTCATATGGTCTTCATGAACTTCAGCTTTTGTATTTCAGTGTTCCAAATCCTGTGAAGGAGGATTTCGAGTTCGAGAGGTACGATGTCTATCAGATGATATGACAGCCAGTGATCAGTGTGATCCACAGCTTAAACCTGAAGAAAAAGAATCATGTAACACACAAGATTGTGTCCCTGAAATAGGTAAGAAAGCTTCTGTTTTGACTATGGGACTCCCTCTAGCGGAGAAAATATTTACTAATTTTGCAGGGGTTTTAGAGTGTATTTTTTTAACCGAGGTTTTATTTTTACACAAAATGCAGCTCTTTTCTGTGGTGTAGAAGCAGGTTTTAATTTCTGATTAAAAACGTTTTCCTTGTAGCATGCAAGAAACTTGCTTACTTTTGAAGCTGCTGAGAATGTGAGAATCCTGCTTCTCTGAAAATGGTCCATATAGGGTGTTTTTTTGCAGTCTCCTTGCATTCTCAAAGGTTTCTCTTAGTAGAGTCTTTAAACAAAAATAGGATCATGTGTGATATACTGGATTTGGCAACAGGTTCCGTAAGAACCAATAACATTGAACTAAGACATTAAGGGCAATTAAGCAATTTTTATTTTATATAGAGTAAATATGTACATACATAATTTGGCATTGGAATTAGTCATTCATGTCAGACAGATTTTATTTTAATAGTAATGAGAGTGACTAGGGAAAAGAAGATGCAGGTATTTAGAAATAGTTTTATCTCTTATGTTCTACAAAAATTTTCAGTTGAGAATTATTCTACATAATATAACTATATAAAAACCTTTTATACCAATATTGTTAATTGTTATTGTATTTGTGTTGTTATTTCTTTATTTTTTAAAAGGTTTGTACAGAATTGCTCGGTTTTACATCTGCTATTAGTGTTTTGTCATTCAGTCTTTTTCATAACACCTCCATTTATCTGATCACATACCTGATCTTAGCTGACACTTATAAAAGTATTTCTAACCCTGTTGATTTTAAAGGAAAACAGATTGTGAACAGGACACATTCCAACACTTAAGAAAAATGGAGAATGTTAAGAACAGCAGCTCTTCCCTTTTTTTAATACAATTGTTTTAAACCATTTTTAATTTGTAAGGAAGGGGAAGTGGTTTACTGTTTTCCAGTATTTAGATTCATCAGTACTTGAAAATAACATTTTCAGGTTCTGGTGCCATCTGTACATTGCCACAAGGGTTTAGTATCTGTGAATTTGAAAATTAAGGGGATAGGTATCTAAGTGAAGAATACTGGAGACTTTACTTTCATCTTTATTCAAAACAAATTTTGTATTTAAAGAAACCAGCAACAAACTCCCCCCCAAAAAAAATTCCAATCAAACAAACAACAAAACACAACAAAAAACCAACCCAAACTCACAACTATATAAATGGGGACAGGTACATTTCTTCCAGGTTTTTATGTATCTTTATATTAAATGTAGAAAATCTTGAATAATCTAACCTATTTGCATAGGTAGCCAAGTTTAATGTGCAATGAATGTTGAAATACAAGTCCGAGAGATTTTACATGGTTGCTCTAATACTGTTATCCTCTGTTTCTTCCCTCTTCCTTTTTCTCTGCAGATGAGAACTGCAAAGATAAATACTACAATTGCAATGTGGTGGTGCAGGCCCGGCTCTGTGTCTACACCTACTACAAAACAGCCTGTTGTGCATCCTGTACACGTGTGGCAAACAGACAATCAGGGTTTCTAGGGCGCAGATAACAAAGACCCTTCTACTCAAAGTGGCAATGTCAGTCTTCGGATGGAGCTTGAACAGTGTTACTGTTTTGTCTACAGCAGGTTTTAGCTTCTTAGAGGTGGTTTTTTATATTGCTGACTACATCAAGACTATGGTTAAATCTCACACCCTTTCAGTTACAGTTATTGTGCAGTTATATTTTTTTAAATGTTTGTTGTAAAACCATGATCTTTTTAAAGCATTAGTTTTTAATTATACTATTATTTGCACCTGCTCATCAGGTAATTATTTAAAGAGCATACCAGCCTTAGTATTGTGAAAGTAAAGAAAACTAAATCAATCACAAGCAATTACTGGAGATATTTGATCAGTATGGATGCAGCTGCAGCATTATTTTCTGAGTGCTTACTCTTACTTGGTATTTTGGACTGCCTTAAATAATACTAAATCAATGAAACATGCACATGAGAAAAAATACTTCACAAAGAATGACATCTTTGAGGAGCCATGTATCTTCAGTTTCTTAGCACTCTAACGTATATTTTAATTACTTCAGTCCATTCATAATAAATTAAGAATCATTCTTAAGCTCCCTCAGTTGTACTTTTAGCTAACTTCCTGTCCTCAGGCAGCAAATGTATATATTCTTGACTGCCAAAAAGTGCCTTTATATTTTATTCATAAACTCTTGAAGTTACACTTTTCTAATTTTGTGTGGATTGTAAAATACATTTCCTACCAGAGTGCCACTAATGCCTAGCCATTTAAGTCTTTAACTGCAGCTGTCGGTGAGACAGATTTACCAGAAAGGTGAAGAGACTTTGCTGGCATAAAAAAAAAAAAAGTGATTGTTTCCATTGGCAGGATCTCCTTCCTGTAGGGCAGTTATTTCAGTGAACTGGGATCTTGCCTAATGTCTTGTCTCTGCACTATTGCTTAACAACTACCGTACCAAAGTACTTTGTCCAGATTTAGTCTGGAGATGTAACCAGTTTCTGAAACAACACCAAAGGATGCAGGCCTCTGTGCTTCACAGCAGTCGTGTTGCTCTTGGTATCAGGCAGCAGTAGGAGTGTGGTAGCCAAGTATCTGCAAAAAGGAAATCTTGGCTCTTGGCATTCTTCAGGTTTTGATCAGTTATTGCAACATACTTGTCTTTTTGAGTCCGTTTCATCCCGCAGATCTATTAATATCACTCCTTTTTTTACTACTCAAGAATGGCTCCAGACTTAGAGCTGAATTTAGGTGGTGATTTTTCATTTCTGCAGTTACTGTACTCAGCTTTGGGTCTTGCTCAGAGCAAACGGAATGTGCCATGCAGTGCAGATGAAAGGTTTTGCATTATCTGCACATTCTCTAGCCTGAGAGGTCTTTCAAATGTGTAAATAAAACTGAGGGAAAACATAAAACACCTCTGAACATTCAGCTGTTTACTACAGCATATTGCTTGTAAATTAGTGTTACTAAATTATGCATCTATTTCTGAGGTGCCTGTTGTCTTGAGTTGAAAAACAGTTTTAATAATTCATGTTAAATCACTCCCTCTGATGTGATGTAACAGTGATTAAGGTCTCCTGCTATTGATGAAGAGGTATGTTTGAGCCTCATTGTGTTTTCTTCTGCTGCTTTGGTGCAGAGGATGTAGGAAGAGAGAATGGGGCACTGGGAGGCCAAGGTTGCAGGATGTGGTACTAGTCACATCAGCCTGTGTCCTGGAAGCTACAGGAGGGCAGAACTCCTGTAGTCTTAAGAGCTGCCTTGGATCCAGATGAACCTTAGGTTTTTTTATTTGGTCACTCATGAAAAATGTATTTCAGACATGATGAACTACTACTCTTTGACTAGGTGAGATGAAGAAGTGTTTTCCCCAAAATCTGAAGTCACTTTTTGTGACTCTAAACCAATAATGTCATTGGCTGTTTCTGTACACTTTGATTTGGCTTTTTCACTGTAGTTAACTGATAGAAAGTTGTTAGAAGCAGAAATGCTAATTAGAAAACTTTTCATTTGAGTTTACAAATCTCTGACAATTCTATTCCCTTGTATTATGAAGGTATATCCATGAAGATATGATTTGTAAACATATTATATTCCTTAGATTCTTGACCAAAGAATGATATGGATAAAGTGCAGTATAGCAACTCTGGAATCCAGTATTTGTAAATACAGATTTTCATCTGGGTCTCTCATTGCAGTAATTCTTGACATACAGTATATAATTTCTGCTGTTGTCTCTTTTGTCCCAAGGAAATGTATCCTGTTAGCTTGAGGGAGATACCAGTTCCGTAAAAAGACCCTCTGAAAACTACAAGGGGAATGAAATGCGGAGAGGTAATCAGGTTTGCAATCAGTTCATAGAAAATAATCTGCTTATACACACTTCTGGCTGTGAGACAGTCAGTGACTCAGCACGTAGACAGGGGATCCTAGTTGTATGCAAAATATGTCATTTTATTCTGGAATATATGGCCATTGGGTTATTTTAAGATTATCATCTTGTGGGCTCCATTAAGCTGGCACTAAAGTAAACAGAGTTTGTGGGAGCCAAATATTAAAGAATATATAAATACACATAGCAATATAAGCCTGTATTATGCCTAAGCTTTGTGAATTGAATGTAGTAAATGATGGTTATACAAACTGTACTTTTCATTTTTAGTAAGGGACAGTTTTCAGATGTACCAGATTAAAAAAAAAATTGTTTCACTTAATTAATAATCTAATGATAAGGAAACTGCCAAAATGTTGCTGAGCTTAATAATTTATCATCTCATGAGTCAGCATAATCCACACAGTTGTTCCTGCAAAATGAACTAATGATCCCTTCTTTTCTTTGATGTACTAATATTATCTACACGAGTAAATACCATGCTAAGATTTCAAAATCACACAAACTGCACTTTTGAAATAGTGACTATAGCAAGGGTTTGTTTTAATAGAGCAGTGCACCAATTTAGGTTGATGCCTGCAGAGGACCTGATTGTACTTTCGCTGTAAATCAGAGATGTCTTAAATGAATGCAGTAGACTTAGAGCAGGTGTAAAACCAATATAAATAGGAATTCTTGAAGGCTTCTGGATCATAATGCTTTAATTTCTTTTTCTGATATTTTACCATCTGTCAAAATTCTGCAGAATGGTGGAAAAAATCCTTCCTTGCCTTAAAGATTTTTACCTTACACAATTTAAAGGTCATCTAGAAGTGTAGGAAGACTGCTGTAGATTGTTGATTTGAAGAGTCTAAGCAATCTTAACTGCTTATAGGGGTAAAATCAGCATACAGCTTTCATATCTTGCAGACATGCAGCTGGCCAAAATCGGCTCCATCCAGAGCAGGCTCTGTCTCTCAAAGCACTTTCCTTCTGGAATTGAGGACTGCTGGTGCATTTGTTTATCAAGAGTCCATCAGGGTTTGCTGGCTCCTGTGCAATGTCAAGCACATATAGATAGATGCAGCACTGAATTGCTGGAGTTCTCCCTGTTGCTGGCAGAGAAAACTGAAGCTGAGAGTGCAAAAGTATGAGGGTTGCTCCTGTGGAAACATATCTGACTTGGCCAGCAATGAGACAGAGTTAATATTTGCTTTAGTGTCTCTGAGCTTCAGTCCCAGGGCTCTGAATTACGCTTGTTAGCAGGCAGTTGAGAGCTGGGGAGTGCAGTGCAGGAGACATGGGTGCTCTTGCAGGCCTGCTGGCCCTGGAGTCCAGCTGAAGTGTGTGCCCACTGACTCGATGCAGGACTACCTCAGTATCCCTGCACAGGGAACTAATGTCTTCCTCGTTACAGGCAGAATCTATTTTCCTTTTTTTTCCCCCAATATTTCAGCATATGGAAAACTTTCTATATGAATAAATCAGTGCTTAATGTTGGTTAGATCCCACTTTTGTCACAATATGATGCAGTTCAGAGTTTGATCTTTTTATGCAGAAAAACCCCCATGTGCTTCAGAGCATGTTAAATTAATGACATGTTAATGCAAAGATGTATTTTAGGTCACTTGTTCATAGACTTCATAAAAGTGGTCAGTATAGCCCTGGCCTAAGTGAGTACATGGAACTCGTAGAACAGAAGACCACATGGGGCAGCAGTGCTGCCAGGACCTTTGCTTTGCTTATGCCCAAGTCTTAGAAGGTGCCAGTGAGGGACATCAGCAGTGAGGGAGGAAGGAGGTAGGTGCTGGAAACAGCCTGTGACTAGTAAAGGGGAGGTTATGCCTTCCTGAAGAAAATACTTTGCTTCCACAGTTTATAATCTGTACTCCTCTTAAGTAGTAAAATGTGCTTTCCAGGGATTTGCTTTCCTTCATACTCATCCTGACCTGTCTCCTGTCTACACCCACAAGGGTTCTTCTCTTCCTCTTGCCTCACCTCCATCCCTTTGTCCTTTGGAGGACAATATTCAATTTTGCTAGAATTACTGAAAATCCTTAACCGGCCATTGGTTGTTATGAATCTGTGGTAGAAATATGCCCAGAGAACTACATTCCTGCCAGTCCAAAGATACTTTATTTTTTTTTAAATGTGTGTGTGTGTGTCCAAGTTGGCTAGTTTTAAATGCACAGTATTAAAGTACCTACTGAATTATTTCCGGTGCAATGAACCCGTGATTACACAGCTCTTGAAGTATGTAGTGGCCCTTCATTCTCACATCTATTGCATAAAAAAGGAGAATTATCCTCTTCACACTCAAAAAGGAAAAACTGTGTGTCTGCGTGGTTTTCTTGGAGCTTATACTTACTTATACTTACTCTGACTTCTTAAAGAGCTGTTTACTGGGCAGATAATTCATGTGCATGTCTGCCACTGGAAAACAAAACATGAAATTTTGAACACTGAAAGTAAACTTCCTTTATTCCTAAACTTAGAGAGTATGTTTGTGAGGGATACATTAGCTGTTGTTTAGAAAATGAAGTCAAATAATAATTTCTATATCAGAAATGAAAAATCATTCACTAAGTATTTTCAGTGTATTTTAAAATAAACGTGTAATCACTATAATATCTCAGTAGCATGGGTGAAATTCAGACCTGGTGAAAGGGAGGAAATTCCACTTAAGAGAGCTCACACCAGACCTGAACTCAGTGTTTTACTTCTCAGCTTTTTGCAACCAGAAGTTCTTAAGCATGTGACTTCCCAATCTTCTATATCCC